GAGAGGTGACATTTTCTGAGACACACAGACTACTAAATGGAAAAGCTCAGATTTTAATTAAGCTCTTCATCCCTAAGCAATTCCACCATACCACACTGTCTCTTCACTTTGAAGTATTTATAGCCACTTTATTTGCTCCACAAGATAACCAGAATCTGTATGATAAATAAGCCCTGATTTTTCACACTGCATACACCAGGCACTTGGTTATCATTCCAGGAAGTAGGTATTATTATCCTTTATTTACCAGGTAAAGAAATCAAGGCTTAGAGAGGAAAGTTACTTAATGTGTCCAGTGACGCAGCTAAAAATGGCAGAGCCAAAAGGCACACTTAGGTGTGACTTCCAAGTTTGCATACTTAGTCACTACCTGGAGCTGCCTCTTACTCTCAAGCCTTGTCCCACCCCCACACAGGTGATCCAGGTCTCAAGATTCCTTCTTTTTGATGTGAGTGAGACTATCAGCTGGATCTCTGATAGCATCTGGCTCTATCATTCTTAGATGACTCCCAATGCCACACTCATCTCAACTTGTCACTTACTAGCATTCATTAAACCAAGAGTCTGCAAACTGGGATGCTGTCCCTACTTTATCCATCACTAACTAGTTAGGATGAGGGGAAAACGGGTCTTCAAATTAGGGAAGACAACTGTGCACCTACCTAAAGCAGGAGTACTGGGTACTCTAGGTGTTCTGGGTACTCTTCTGGGGCTAAGATTTCTCAGGCAAGACTGGTAACCTTTTATTTAATGTGAATTTTCAGATCACAAACACATCCATATTCATAATATCAAAACATAAGCTAAAGCAAAAGAGCAACAAGTCAATAAAATCTCTCTTTCCCTGTCACTGAACTAAGTGATAGTTAACAATCTTGGGGGCAGGTGTGTTCTGAGTTTGTCTTCCTGCCAATTGCTACCCAGATGGCCTCCCAAAACAGCAACCCAGAGTCGCCAACACCAGTAAAGGAGCCAAGCTTGGCAGGAGGCACCACCCAGGGCCCATGGACAAGAGGCTACAGCAGGAGGTGATGACCCTCGTGATGTCTGACAGCAAAGGCATTTTTGCCTTTCCTGAATCAGACAACTTTTCCAAATGGGCAGGGACCATCCACAATGCCGTGGGCACAGTATATGAGGACCCGAGATACAAGCTTTCCCTAGAGCTCCCCAGTGACTACCCTTACAAGGCACCCATGGTGAAGCTCCTCCCACCCTGCTACCACCCTCCCTGCATTGTGGACACCCAGGTAACATATGCCTGGACATCCTGAAGGACAAGTGGTCCACCCTTCATGATGTCAGGTCCACCCAGCTCTCCATCCAGAGCCTGGTAGAAGAACCCAACATAGATAATCCTTTGAACACACATGCTGCTGAGCTCTGGAAAAACCCCACAGCTTTTAAGAAGTATCTGCAAAAAACCTACTCAAAGCAGATCTCCAGCCAGGAGCCCTTACCAGGGTTGTCCAGCCTCTCCTTGTGTCACCTTTTTTATTTTTTCCTTAGATGGTCTGTCCTTTCCTTGATCTCTGTATAGGACTCTGTATCTTGAGCTGTAGTATTACTATTGTTTCTGTTTTTTAAATTAGGTCTCTTGTTGAGCCCTTATGATGTATATTAAATACATTTTGGTTAGTTTTTATAAAAATAAGCAAACAAAACAAATCATGGACTACAGAAAAGGGAAACTGTCGAAAATATCCTAAATAATTATTACTACCTGTTGAGACAATTTCAAGAGTTCTTTAACAACACAGATCTCATTTAGAAAATCCTTCTATTTCCAAGAACGGCAAATCATAATTTTCACACAGAAGTGAGACTCAGTTTATCAAAATAAGTCTTGACACAGAAACACAAAAAGAACTTGAACCCTAAACAGCACAATGCACCTCCCCCCACAAATGGTAAAGCAGGAGGGCTATAAACTTGACTTTTCAGTAAAGAGTAGATTGTAAATAGTTATTTCATAAGTGTAAAATGTACATAACCATACTTCAATTTCATGTTAATTGAAAAGAAGCAGTAAGAAACAGGCCTATATGGGGAAAATTTAACATAAAATTTAAAGACAATGGGGTAAAACACCCAAAGTCTAAAGATTTTAGTAAACTATTAGAAAAACAGCATGATATAATGTGGCAATTCTTAACTTTCCACAAACTCTTTTGTGAATCTCACAAAACAAACTCTTAATTGAGAAAAAAATACACATAAACTTTTGCCTATAATTTCAAGGGACGCAAACTCCATGAAGTCTATTCTTGGGCCTGTTGTTAAGAACCCCAGGAGCGGAAGGAGCTCTGGGCAGCCTCTTAAGAGATCTGGCTCTATTTCTGGCCCTGTCATAGTGTTAACCTAATCCAATCATTTTGCCTCTCTAGATCTCACTTTCCTCAGCTGCTAATCTTTCCTTTTTAAGGCTGAATAATATTCCACTGTATGTATATACCACATTTTGTTTATCCATTTATTTGTTGATGAACATTTAGGTTGTTTCCACCTTTTGGCTATTTGGGATTTTTTTAACTGACAAATAATAACTATATATTTATAAGGTATAATGTGGTGTTTTAATAAATACATACATTGTAGAAAGATTAAATCAAGCTAACTAACATATCCATAACCTCACCTACTTTTTTTTTGTGATGAGAATATTTAAAATCCACTCTTCTAGCAACTTTAAAATATACAATACAGTATTATTCTGACACATGCTACAACATGGATGAACCCTGAAGACATTATGCTATGGGAAAGAAGCCAAACACAGGACAAATATTGCATGACTCCATTTATATGAGGAACATAGAATGGGCAAATTCTTAAGACACAGAAAGTAGAACAGAAGTTATCAAGGGCGGGGAGAAAGACAGTGAATGGGGAATTAGTACTTCATGGGTATAGTTTCTGTTTGGAGTGAAGAAAAAGTTCTGCAAATGAATAGTGGTGATAGTTACACAGCATGGTGAATGTACTTAATGCCACTGAACTGTACACCTAAAGATGGTTAAAATAGTAAATTTTATGTTATGTGTATTTCACCACAATAAAAAAAAAAAAAAGAAAGAAAACAACCCCCCCCCCCCCACAATGATCTTTCCTCTTTATGGTTGAAATTCTAGCAAAGTCTACTAGTATCACAGGAAAAATGAGGGATTTAGTAAAATCATATCCTTACCATTTTTCAATTGCTAATTATGACTCAGCATTTCCTCTTGGCTTCAGAACAGTCACAGCCCAGAATAATTCAAGTTATGGGCTAGATCTGCAGCAAGGTGCTTATACTCTCCTATCAGAGTCCTCTATTTGGAGATTTCCCAAGTTGACTTTCCCTTACCTATCTCCCTTCAAAAGGATATTAAGTGGCTTTCTTAAAGTATCAGAGGTAGTACTTTAAAGAGGCAGAAAAATCTTCTCCAAGAACAAACACACTCTAGTTTCGCTAAAGCTGTGCTGCAATAACAAGCCTTGTGACATCCCTTTCCAGCATATAACGAAGATGTCATAATCACTTTATTTCCCCATTTGGACGGCAGTCCTTAACCAATTCTGTTTCCCAGCAAACTCTGAGCTATAAAGTCCAATTTTAAGGAACTGCATTTGAAAACTTCACAATAGTTATACTGAGTTAATTGTTTCAACTTCTAGAAAAAAGCCTCTCTCCCTCATGAGGCAAACAGCAGAATGAGTATAATCATTAGCCAGATGAGGCAAACAGCAGAATGAATCCAATCATTAGCCAGATGGCAAGTACAAAGGAGTAGAACATATCACACTCTGGAATACTATCATAGGATAGCTCAGGTATCCAAAGCTCATTTGAGATGAAGAGTGCGTCTCCTATCACTATTGTATCTGTAGCACCCATCAGAAAGCTTTCTGCAAAGAACTTCTGGCTGGCCTGACTGGGAAAGTTTTAAGCTTGTCAGGTGAAAAAAAACTGTTCATAGAACTGTAAGCAGCATTATATTCTGAGATCTCTTCTTGGTAGCAGGCTACCCTGCGCACGCACACGCACACGCACACGCGCGAGCACACACACACACACACAAATGGTAAAATATAAAATGCCACTAAATTAAATCTGGCATGAGCAAAATATCTGAGAATTTGGGAATAGTGACTCAGTTTACAAGGGCCCCTCAATTGCTAATAAATATAGATCCAACCAGGTTTACTCTTGTTCAGATAATGTGGTAGAAAAGATGATGCTGACCATAAAACTAATAAAAATATATTAAACAACAGAAACTATCCTGAAAACTTCTGCCTTTTATAAATATTTCAGTGAAAAATGTTGGCTGCTGTAATACACTTATTTCTCTATTTATACCAAAAAAAGAAAAGAAAAAACAACTCTTCAAATATTTTGACTAACAACCTTCCTCCAAAGCACTCTTTTAAGACTCAGGATGTATAACAACTGAACCCAAAGATAACCAGGATTTCCTACTACAACTCAGTTGCTTTTTACTACTATTCATATGAAGAGACCACTACTGTCAATTTTATTCACAGAAATTACATTCAAACCAAAACTCAATTGTTTACCATATTTTCTGTATGCAATAACATGAAAGTATTGGTTTCTACTTATCTCTTTCAAATCCTGAAGACATACCAGAAAAAAAATATATGGTATAGAAAAAATTTCCTTTTGTACTAGGATAAACTGTATACACTGGTAATGTTATGTTACACCCACAGACAAGACTCATTCTAAGTTTTCAGTAAAATATAGGAGGTTAGAAGCAGTGAAAGCAGGGAGACAGAGGAGAGAGAAAATGATAGTATGACTTACGTTTGCCTCTCTCAGGCAACGAAGTGGTTAGCAGGAATAAGCTTAAAAACCTCCAGCAGAAGGCAAGGTACAGAATTGAGGTTTTAACTCGTGGCAAACTCACACTGAGATGCCAAGTGGGCGGTACTACTATGAATCAGGGGGTGGGGCTGATGATGAGAGAAGGGAAATAGGGAAAATGAGCATTTACTCGGTTAGAAGCTGGTGCAGCTTGTGATAACCTCGCTCCAAGGCCAAGCTCACAGGCGTTGCCCCTTCCTGGTTGTGGATGCTGAGAGCTCCTCGGCCACCTGGCTTCTGCAGCAGCAACCATGTCAACCTCAGCAATCCCAGCCGCACAGCAAAATGCATCAATGTTTCCCGGGGGCCACCATCTGTAATGGGGGGGGGGGAATGAAAACAAATGAGGAAAATAAAAAGACAAAAAAGCAAGCAAACAGCAACAACAACAAAAAAGTTAGGTAAGCACCACTGCCTCCAACTGCCTAAGATCCTGAAGTTAAGATACAACATACAGTGTGAAGAACTTTATTGTGGCCAGGTAGAATTCGCTGTCATGTAAGAACAAAACAAAACTAGAAAAAGGTAGAAGCGAAATCTTCAATAGGAGACAGTCCCCCAAAAGAGAATCAAGCCACTTCTATATTCTGATTTATTGTATTTGTTCAACCAATTTCACAGGCAGGCTTATTCGGGTGACTCCCCCACACGATTTTTTCTTAAAAAAAAAAAAAAAAAAGAAGTCGAATGCAGCCCCACAACATAGGGATCCAAAGGAAATAGCTGTTAGGACTTAGATGGTATACCATAAAGGGTATAATTACTTTTAAAAAGAACACCCAAACAGAACTTGACTAGTTAAACACTAAAAACAGGTTCTGCTTGTTAAGTATACACAGGTCTTTTTCTTCACCCAGATTAAGGGAAAATCAAATTGCTGGCACTGCTAGCTTTTTTTATTTGTTAAATGAGAGAAAGAAACGCATCTTCAGGCATAATAGAAAATACTAACTCTAAGACAGTACACTAATGACATCACAAAGAAAAATGTGAGCTTGGACTTATCTCACTTGAAATGAAGCCTCCTTGTTAGCATCATGAGTCACTGAAAGTAGTGAAATGAGGAAGGGCTCTGGAGTCAGACAAATCTGGGTTCAAATCTGGCATTTCCCATCTGTGTAACCATACTTGATTCCTTTAACTTCTCTGGGCTTCACTTTCTTCATTCTTAAGAGTGGGACACTATTAGTTCATTCACAGAGTTGCTGTAAGGAATGAGTAGGTGAAATGCTAGTATAATGACTGGCTGTAGTAGGTACTCATTAAATGCCAGTTCCCCTCCCTTTCTCTGTCCTGTTGGGCTTCAAATTACATCCTATGTACACTAGCAACACTCTCTCTACCTCAACTGTCTTCTCGAGCTGCCTCTGTGAAGACAGGAGCAAGGCTGTGTAAAACGGCCCCACAGGCTGTGCGTCACTCAACTCCAGGGAGTTGTGAGTGGTGCCTTAGAGCTGTGCCTGCCTTCTTTCTTTCATTCTTCATGGCTTCCCTTGGGTCTCAACTTCTTCACTGAGCATTCACACACTCTTTGGATCCCAGTGTTTTCTCCTTACTCTGAAGTCCTCAGATGCTTCCATACGCAAATATCACAACAGAATGAACACATCTTTGAAGCTGATTTTACATTTAACTGCATTGTTTTCTAATGTCACTTACGTATTACTCTAGTCTCCCTATTTCCAAGGTAAATTTCCTTGGAAGCAAAATCTATCTTTAATATTTTATATTTTCCCTACGGAACTATATACACACCGACCAATTCAGGATTTATAGGGTGTTCAAGCAGAGGCACATGACTGGAAAGAAGTCAGTGCCCCAGAAGAAACAATTACAAGTGCAAGTACAAATTTTAATAATCAGCACCTCAGAGCAGGTGGCAAGACTAGACAAAGAGACAGAAAGAACCTTCATAAAAGATCAAATATCATCACCTGACTGGTGCCCTATAGTTGCTCATAGGCTTTCTGACATCTTTATCAAAAACAAAAGAGCTAATTAAGGCACTGACCAGGAAAAATGTGATTTTTAAGAGACCAGTTAATTCAGGCCTTACTGAGTGACACCTCCTTAGTTTTCTCCTCTCTCCCCACCCTTTCTGGTCTCTTCTTTGCTCTGAGTCAGCTCAGCATTTATGAGAAGAGTTCCAACAATAAGGCCATGCACCTGCTCAGAAGCTGGCACCCTGATTCCTGCACGACATTCTCCCTCAGTCTCACTGTAAGGTCTGTAAAGCAGCAGCTGCCACATCTGCTTTTAGAAGAAAATACATAGTGAGGACCTGCCAAGTGCCATGCACTGAGCTATGCAGTTCATATCAACTTTTTCCATTGTATCCTCATAATACCCCTACCCTATAAGGTCTCATTATCCTCATTTTGCAAATGAAGACAGGTTCACAGAATTAATAACTTGCCCACAGCCAGAAACAGTTTTTGAAAATTCTTCTGTCTTGAGTCTAAAAATCATAACCTTTCCATTACTCAACCCTCTTTTTGTAATAAAAAAAAAAAGTTAAGCTAATGTGATTTAAAGCACCTTTTCATGTTCCCCCTAACATTTTATTAACTCTTTCAAATATACACTTAAGTTGAAAGAATTATACAACTAATAACCAGATACTCACCAACCTAAATCCTAAAATTAATGTTTTTCTATATGTGCTTTGTCATGTACTTACCCAATATCCTTCCCTCTATCCATCAATCCATCTTATTTTTATGCATTTCAAAGGAAGTTAAAGACATCAGTAAAATTCACCCCTGAACACTTCAGCATACATATCATTAACTAGAGTTCAACATATGGTTATAATTCTAGCTAATTTACATACAGTGAAATACACACAGTACACTATATCATTTGATAATATTGACAAATGCATATAATCCAAACTTTTACCAAAATATAGAACACTATCAACATCCAAGAAAGTTCCCTTATGCCCATTCCCAGTTAATTCCCACATCTCCTTCCAAGAGTGAAATCGCTGCTCTGTATTTTTCACCATAGATTAGAACTTAATAGAAATGGAATTACACAATTCTTTCATTCAGCGTAATGTTTAACATTTGTCCACACTGCTGCATGTATCAGTAGTGCATTTGTTTTTATTGTTGGTATATACACTGCATGTATATACCTCAGTTTGTTTAGATATTCTGTTCATTTTTCACACATTTTAATTTGATTTTCACAAAGGTCATGTAAATTAGGCTTGCAGAAGAGGCGGCCAAGGTGCATAGGGATAAACAAATAAGTATGTAAATGTTTCTGTTAGTCCATGTTATTTTAAGAGCAAGAAAGCTTCTACCCAACCTATCTTCCACTATTTCTTTTGTCTCATTTTAAACTGCACGGCACCAATAATTTGGGATTAATCTCTGTTCTCTACTCTTATTTTTTCTTCCATGATTGACTTTCTCCTCTGTATTCTGAGTTTTTCAGAATACTAATTGCATTTCCCACAATATCAATTGAGTACTTTGTCCTCAATATAAATTTAATTATGCTTTGGAATTCTGGATGTTCTTGCAGCATTTTTTCCATCTTTTTTCCCCTTTCCATCTTTGCCCTCCTCGTAGCTTTTCTTGCAGCTATAATTAAAGCCCTAGTCAGTTGATTTAATAAAGGAGGTTATCTGGATAATCTGCATATGCCTGACTGAATCAGTTGGAAGGCTTTAAAAGCAGAGCTTAAGTTTTCCCTGGAGAGGGAAAGGATTCCACCTGTGGAAGACAGTGTCAGGCTGTGCCCGTGGAGTTCCATCCTGCTCAGAATCTCCCCTTCCTCACTGCCTGAGGATGACAGCTTTGGCCCACGTTGGTGGGTTTGCCCATGATCATCCCTCCTCTTACTGCCCTATAAATTTTGGACTTGTTTAGCCAGTCCCACAACTGAATAAGCCATTCCTTGTAACAAATCTTACTACATATTTCTTCTACTGGTTCTGCTTCTCTAGTTGAACCCTGACTGATACACTCATTAAACCTATTTTTATCCTTGTTGCTTCCTTTTCTAATTTCATAATAGATCTGACTTCTTTGATCTTTTAAAGCACAAATGGAAAACATCTTCTGAATTTTTCTTTGGTTTCTTAAAGCAAATCATACTCAAGAGTCTTCCATCTGAATTTTTGTGATACTTTTCCTTTTTCTTCATGCTGTAATGTTATTTCATAGTCCCCATGTTGATTGATTTTCCTGTTAAGCCACACTTACTTGGAAAGATCTCAATGTACGCCTAGCTTCTACCCACAGAGAAAGTTAAGCAGAAAGTGTCTTAAGTCCCACTTGCTATCTATCTAGTTATATGCTTGGCACAGCTCCCACACACATTTCCTCAGATCTGCAAAGAAAGGTGATGTGTACAGTAAGGAGTTGTATCTTTTTCAAACTGTTAGATTTTCTGACTAAACAAAACACTCCAAGGTCTGTGAACTGTACAATAATCAAGGACTACATGTACTTTCCCAACCCATCAATCCAGCCAGCAAACCCTCCTCACAGTACTCTTTCAATCTACATATAATAGTGATTTAGGAATCTCATAGATCTACTATTCAGTACTGTCTCAAATAAACTTGAAGTCCCACATGATGCAGGGATTCTCACACTGCGTGGGGAAGGAAAACATTCTATACAGACCAGTCTGAAAAAGCGAGCTTTTGGAAAAATGAGACTTGTAACCTTATGACAAAACCAATGTTTGAGAGGCAACAAAACCTTTTGGAGCTAAAGCCCTGCCACTACTAGGCGCTGCATGTCTTGGAGTCAATAGATACAAATCTTCTGCCAAGAAAAAAATCCATTAGCAGTCTTTTTATATTTTACTGTTTTCTTTTTTAGCAGTGATGTTGTTGAAAAAATACACAAACACTAGTGTAGCTAAGGAAAAAATTCCATGGAAAGCTATCACATGTTCTGAAGGGGGTATGAGAAGTAAATCACCAAATGATTAAGGTTTGAGGATATATTAACTGACATCAGATATATAGAACTGGGAATTCACAGGCTATTCTTAGTACTGTCTTTCTTAAACCTGTCATCCTCCTGTCCACTTAAATTTCTCTTTGTGGGGAGGATTCCCACCCCCCAAAATGATTAGATCTTCTTTTCACTTAGTTATATAATACCATGACTAAATAAAAATGAAGGTTTCCTCCAGGATGTTTCTCCTTGCTTTCTTCAGAGCAAGTCTTCAAATGGCCCACTCTAAGTTACCTGAGAGTTAGGCTGATTGCTTTTATACAAGGATCTTTCAGGGAAAAACCATCCTAATTCACCATTTTCACTAACCACTGAAGCACAGAAGAGCTAAGACAACTGTGACTTGGAAAACACAGAGAAAAAAGACATCCTTGCTCTACCATTCACCCTCCAACCAGATGAATCCTTATTACCTGCATTTAAGGCAAAATTGTGGTAAAAAGTACGATGCAGAGGTTTCTTTCTGTAACTAGGGATTAGAGAACACTTAAAAGAACTAAAAGGACAAACTCTCCATGGCTCATGTTTAAAGTGAGGATCACCTTTAGCAACAAGTAAAACCAAAAGCAAAACAGCGTTGTGCTTGGAAGAGCCTTCCTTATAGTGCTGTCCTGTTTCATCCTTTCATAGAACATGTTACCTTCCCCTGTTGTAGCTCATCAATGTTTTATGTCTCTAAACGGTTACTGGACATTAATCACGGTATATTCAAATTGAATAGCTCGCAAACTAGCACACACTATCAGAATACACTTTCCTCCATTTTATACATGAAGAAATTGAGTAACAGAACTGTTAAATATTTTGCACAAGCTCTTGCAATGAAGCCAGGATATAAACAAACAGACTTTAAGGCCTGTGCTTTTTCTATTTTATAATATCAAATCTAAATCAAGGGTTCTTAACTTCATGCTCATGCCTAAAGTTCAGGGAGATCATAAAATTTACTGTATGTAAATGTTAGCAGGTAGGCACCTAATATACACATTTCTGAAGTGAAATCTGAGCAATTTTCAAAGGAGTCACTGACCTGAAATAAAGTTAAAAAGCACTGCATCTAAACAATTAGAGAGTAGGAGGATTAACCATAGATCTTACATGACTCATTTGTGTAAGTGTTAGGCTAGAACACCTGTAAACATCCTAGCTTTCAACAGCAAGTAGTCCCGTTACATAACAAGATGCCCCATTTACTTGTATTATTATCCCAGGCACCAAGCTCACTTCGCATCTTTTTTCCTTTAAATACCTTTAAAAAAGTATTTGATGTGTAACTCACTGATGTGAACAGACTACTCCATTACATTCATCCCTCAACAGCAAACATGATGAACTCTTAACTTATGCTACTCTGCCCGTACCATCCCCAGTGTTCCTAGATTCTAACCCACAATTAATAGGATTTAAACTGCAGAATATAAATCAAGAACTTAAAATTAGATTCCTGATAGAACTGTTGTAAAGTCAACAGCTGCAATCAAGTCTCTTGCCTGCATTTCACCTTTGCAAAGTATACACCTAACTTGGTCAATTTCTTTTGTTATTATTTTAAGTGTATGTACAATAAAATTCTCTTTTTACTGGTGTACAGTTCCACCAGTTTTAACACATGCATAGATTCTTATAGCCACCACCACTAACAAGATACAAAACAACTCCAAAACCCCAGAGAATTCCTTTATAATGCCCTCTGCAGTCAAGTACTTTCCCCCACTCCCAGCCCCTGGCAACTACTTACCTTATTGTCTGTTTCTATAATTTTGCCTTTTCTAGAATAGCATACAAATGGAAACTTACAGTATGTAATCTTTGGAAACTAATTTCTTTTATTTAGTACAATGCATTTAAAGTGCATCCAGTTGCCCAAGCTAATAGTTTGCTCCTTTTTTTATTGCTGAATAGTATTCTATTGTATGGATGTATCACAGTTTAAGTATTCAGTCAGTGAGGGAGATCTGGGTTTATTTCCAGTTCAGGGTGATTGACTATGAATAATTTTGGGTGATTATGAAAAATATAGGTACATTTGTGCATAGACTTTTTTTTTTTTTGTCTTTTGTCTTTTTCCGTGTCCGGCAATGGATCGCAACCCTCAGTGTTGCCCCCGTACCAGACTGGAGACCGGTGATGGGATTGCAACCCTCGGCGTTGCCCCCGCGCCTCGCTCAGCCAGTGAGCGGGAACCGGTCTGTATGTGGGATCCGAACCCTCGGGCGGGAGCGCCGCCGCGCTTCCCAAGCGGCGCACTATCCAGTGCGCCACCGGGCCAGCCCAGTGCATAGACTTTTTGATGAACATATTTTCATTTCTTTGAAATAAATACCCAAAAGTGGCTGGGTCATACAGTAAGTGTACAATTAGCTTTATAAGAAACTGCCAAACTTTTCTAGAGTGGCTATACCATTTTGCATTCCCACCACCAATGTATGAGATGTTGTTTTGTATCCTTGCCAGAACCTGGTATATTTAATCTTAGCCATTGTAATACACATTTAATGGTATCTCCTTGTGGTTTTAATCTATATTTCTCTAAGTGCTGAAATTTGGCTTAGCTTCTGCTAGCATTGCTTGAGCAATTCTGTATAACAGAAACTTAAGAAGTACATGAAAACTTTAGAAGTACACAAAAATATTAAAGCTAGCCAGTTCCCCTAACATTAAAGACAAGGAAACTAAGAGAGAGAGGGGGGCGGGGGGGAATGATATGCCCAAAGTTTCAGGCCTTTGCTTTTTCTAACAGTTCTTTTTCATCGTGGTAACATGAACAAACTAGCCAACTCCTGGACCTTCTTTAAACACAACAAAACCATAAAAACACCTTCAGCCCCACAAATAATAACTAATGCAGTTCTATTTTGATATTGATCTGTAAAAGGCAACCAAAGTAATCATTCCCATATCAGTAAGAAAATGGCAGGAGCTGGAGGTATGAAAGCCCATCACTAGGTTCTGAAAGGGTACTATTGCCTAAATAATGTCAAATGTTCTGATCTCTAAACATTAGCAATGCAGATGTTTCCTGAGCATTGTATTAATAAGAAAAAGAAAAGAGGAAATGCTTTTTTCCTTGATTTGATTATAGTCCACACGTTCTTTCATATTTTACTTGGGTGGGACTGTCCTGGCAGTATCTGGTAGGATGCCCTTGATAGTATGTGACACCACTCTAATGGCTGATCACAAGTTTAAGTGTCAAATTTAGTATATTTAAGAGAATGAAAGCTGGCAAATACCTCTTTTCCCAATGTTCCACAAGGGGGAAGAATAAACTTATCTGATTTGTCTGAGCATACTCTGCCTTAGTCCTCTCTGGGCATTTCTCCTCAGGACCTGCTCACCCTACATAATATACTAATCAAAGCTACGTGGACTCTGAAGGGCAGTTCTGTGATTGTCCAGCTCTTTTAGAGATGAAGTAGAAAGCATGTTCTTCTGGCAGGAGTTCTAAGATCAGCCTTCTATTCTAGCTTTCATCAGTTCTAAAGCAAACATTTTGATCTCCATCTGTGGGACTCCTAAATCTTTCAATTGGATGTAAACCCACGAGGGAAACACAATGTTACTTACTGGACCCCAGGTGTGTGTGTGTCTACACACACACACACAGAGATATAATCACTGACATTCAGTAGATGTCATATGCTACAAGAATAATTGTGTAGGAAAAAACCCTATCTGAATAAGAAGACATATGTAGATACTTATTACATCAGTGTTTTCTAGGAAGTGAAGTCCTTTCTTCAATGAACTCTTAAATGGAAGGTCAGTAGATAAAATGAGTAAGAATGAACCTACCCTGATTAAAGAAGTGTGGGGGTTCCCAGAGCTCGTTCCTGCTCTCATGCTCCCCCCACTCCCCAATCTTTCCTTTCCTCCAACTCCATGGACTCTCTAGAGAACTTCAGAACACAATAAGGAAAACCCTATCTTTGATAATTAAACACCAAAAAGTTAACCTGCTACTCTGCTCATGAAAGACAGTTTAGTTTCTATGGTTGAGAGATCAAGCCTGGAAACCAGACCCACAGGAAGGTGATGTGCCACTCTCTACTTGGGTACTCTCTCCTGGGTCATTTCACTACAAGAACAGGTTAAAAACTCAAAGAACCTAGAAGAGATACTATCAAAACCATTTGCTACAGTAACTGTTAAGTTTTATTCAGCCACTGTGGAAGACTGGAACATAATGACAATATAAAAGCAACCGCATTAAAAGAGAGTAGTCCACACTCAAAGTGTGTTTGTGGGTCATAAATTCTCACCATGCAAAGTATGATCTGTCCCCAGCACATTCCACTCTGCTGGCAGTTTCAGGTGTCTGAATGCCAGTGCAACCTTCTCATCAAGGGAATTCACATCCCCAGACGGGGGTCCTGACCGGTCAAGAAAACGGGTGAAGTTCAGAGCCTGCTGATTTCCAGCACTGGCTGCCAGGAATTGGGCTGCGTCATATGCTTCATCCTGGATGAAATGAAAATCTTCTTCAGCTACCACAAACACGGGAAGCCCCTCTTTGGAAGCACAGAGCAGCACCTTCACTGTCTCACAGCAGTCATGACCTAAAGAAAACACAGGCAGCAAAGGAAATAGTTTTAGAGTCCTCCTGCTAAAAAAAAGGACACTGGTGGGTCCTCTTAGCGCTTTTTTCATGACAGACAAATTTCTCCTCCTAAAAGAAACACCTCATTCCTCTGAGCTCTGACAGCATTTTCCCAAACTTCTTAAAACTCCATTTTCAGCTTTTAAAATTACTTGTAAGTATGAATTAGTTCCCTTAACAAACATCAAACAACTTTGTATCCCAGCTTTTACTATGCCTACAACATAGTATTTGGCACTGAACAGGCCCTAAAATATCTACTACAATACAGTTGGAACAAATTAAAGAATGAAAGTGAACGGACCCTGTTAGGCCTAGTATATAACTGCAAGTCTTATAATACCTACTGAAGTGAATTAGATATGAAAACACAACAGGGAAAAACACCACTTATACAGGTTACATGGGAGGAACTTTACAAATTCCCCAGGACTTGCCCTATTATCACAATATAACAGATAAAATGATGAAGCACTTTGAAAGGTACAAAACTACTTTATTTTATTATTATTAGCCATCCAAAGTGTAAAAAGTAAATAATAATTTTTGTTCTCAAACAAATTCTTTCCTGTCTCTACCATCAGTGTAATGAGGACTTCAATGGAATCACCTGATTCACAAAAGGATGATGTGATGCTATGGTGGCTAGAAGCTCAGCTCAGGAAAAGGAAACATACCAGACTCTGTGGCACCCACTGTATAGACCAGCAGATATCTCAAGAGCTGTGACTGTAAGCAACAACCTACATGCCACCCCAAAGAGCTCAGTTTGAGCCAAATCAGCAAGATTTAACACCACCGTGTTTCTGTGGGTAAGATCTTCCTGGACAATCAGACTTTCTTCTGGATTTTTAGCCTCACAGAATTAAGTATTTCCAACATGCAGAATATATTCATCAAAACATGCATTGTTTTTCTCAACTTCCAATCGCTGATCTCAAACTAGCCAGACCTGTGCTTCTACCATCATTGTTCTTCCATAAACTATGTTTCTGATATGAAAAGAAAAAAGAAAAAAAAAAATGGAGTTAATGCTTTTGTTGTTTGAGTTATGACACCTTATGCTTTGCCTGATTAACCACAGGCACATCAGCATCCACAGCTTCCCTGAAGACATAACGCATGCAGAGACTGTGTTCCCACAGCAGAGCGACGTGGAGAGAAACCCTTACGGGTCCATGAGTCTGAGTTTCCACACCATGGGCACAGGCCAATAGAGGTTTCAGACTCAGACAGAACAAACTAAGCTTTCTGCTATCTTTGAAAGTGAAAACAATGTTTTTTCCATGTGATCAATCAGAATAATAAGTTAATTTTCTACATATTTTTTCCCAGGTGCCTCCCTGGGATGCACCTGAGTTCTTCGCCCTGTGACAAAGAAATCTCTCACTGGTGTGTAATTCTAGGGCAGTAACAAGCATTTACTAACCAAGTACCTACTACATGCCCAGCATTAGACATCATCATCTCTATATAACAATTTTATGAGATATGTATTGTCCTTACTTTATAGATGAGAAAAGTGAGACTTCAAGAAGTTACTTGCCCAAGGTTACACAAACATTAAGAAGCAGAATCCATTATTCAAATTAAAGGCTAATGCCAAAGGACATGGCCTATTATATCAAAATACAAGGGTTTTGTACCACATTACCTATAAACAGAGGAGAAAGCATGATGGGTAAGTCCCTGCCTGAAAGGAGCTTAACACTTACAATGACAGGTCATGATGACTATTAAGTGATAATGACAGGTTCATGAATCCTGAAGATCAGTCTTCACAAAAACACATAATTCCAGGAGATACTCCCACTGCCTTCCAAGTTGAATTCTTTCTATGAAGGATGTAGGAGGCTGAAGTATTCTCTGCCTGGTATGTATGTGTTTGTGCATGTACATTTCAATTCAATATATATATCTAGTCTATGAAATGAAATTAGAAAATAAACTTAATCTTTCTTGGAAGGGCAGTCAGCCTCATTACATAGATATCTATGTCAGCAGAAACAAGACAACTGATTCGAGGAGATGCTTTGGGTATTTTTCTTTTTTTTTTTTTTTGTCTTTTTTTGTCTTTTTTTCATGTCCGGCAATGGATCGCAACCCTCAGTGTCGCGCCCATACCGGACCAGGACCAGCAACTGGATCGCAACCCTCGGCGTTGCACCCGCACCTCGCTCAGCCAGTGAGCGGGAACCGGTCTGTATGTGGGATCCGAACCCTCGGTGGGAGCGCCACCGCGCTCCCAAGCGGCGCACTGTAGCAGTGCGCCACCGGGCTTTGGGTATTTTTCTCACAGAAAGTGTTTCTTTTAAAATGTTCTATAACATCTAAGTTCTGTTCAAAAACTAACAGCTGGACATCGGCCAAGTACAGGCACTGTGATTAGAAGGTTTAAATGAGTAAGATAAGAGTCTCAACTCTCCAGTGGGTCACAGTCCATAAGGGAGAATCAAACAAGGTGCAGAGAGCTGAAATGGAAGTCAAAATGGGATGGGTTCTATACAAAGCACACGAGGATACTTCAAAAAGATTGTGGAAAAATGGAATTTAAAAATAATAAGAATCCTTCCATGAGCTTTTTGAAGACACCTTACACAGTACAAGTGGGAGGGAAGAGCAGTGCATTTCATAGGTGGGTAAAAGTAAGAAGATTTCATGAAGGAGGTGGGAGTGATGAAGGACCTCTGATAGGCACCCTGCTTCCTAATTCCCCAACTCTAGGGGTTCTTCTCTGCAACCCTCAGAACTCAGCCATATATTCTCTCTCATTTAAAAAGCATTGTAAAGCTCTTTTACCTGCCCATAATCCTGCTGACTGGGCCAACTGCTGAGCTAGGGGCAGGTCTGGAGTTCACAGACCCCTCAAGCCTGTTGTCCAGACTGGGTCACAAACCCTTCACACGCCAGGCTGGGTCCCCAGATCCCTCACATGCAGGTCCACGAGCTAGGCAAGTGGCCAAAAACATTCTTGGAAGCTGCAGGTTGGAGAGCATGGCCGCACACAGTAGATGCCTGAGTCAGACAACACCAGCCAAGGTGGCAGTGCAGCGCCACCCCCACACACACACCATTTGCTTACAAAGAATGCACCACACCACCCCCAACTGCACCTAAGGCAAGGAGGCCTGAAAAAATTATTCTATTTTCCCAACAAGTATTTACATAATACTTTTTATGTGCCAGACACTATTCTCAGTGCTTTACAGATAAGAATTCATTTACTTCTCATAACATCCCTATGCAAAAGATACTCTTACTATCTCCATTTGCCAGAAGAGGAAACTGAGGCACAAAACATTAAGTAATCTGCCCAAGGTTATAAAGCTCTTAAGTTGCAGAATTAGAATCTGAACCCAAGTTTCCTTGCTCTAGAGTCTGCCCCTACACTCAAAATTTATGGATATTTAAGATGGCTTAAAGAGGAAATAAGGGTTCCACAGAAGAATAATGAAAAAGGAATAAAAACACATTCAAATCCTGGCTGTAAGACTCATCAGTTGTGTGACAACAGATCACTCCTGTTCTCTGGGCCTCAATTCCTTCAGTTGGCCCCTGAAAAACACAGAGTTGAACCACACAGTCCACCTATGTGCAAATTTTTTTCAAACTGTGGATCGAAAATACAGTATTTGCAGGATGTGGAACCTGCGTGTATGGAAAGCTGACTTTTCATATAGGCAGGTTCCACAGGGCCAACTATAGGACTTGAGTATCTGTGACTTTTAGTATACGTGTGGCATCCTGGAACCAATCCTTCATGGGTACCGAGGGACAACTATACAGCATGAGGAAGCAGCCTCTATAGGATCTACTGTTTCTCCAACTGTAAAAGACTACAGGTCTTACCAGGCAGAAAGTGGGGAGGAAGAGGAGGTTTGGAAGGTTTTTCAGGAATAGGAAACAGCTTTTAAAAAGTAAAAATGAAAAGCAGAGGGTAAGTTCAAGGGATGAAACAACTACAAGAGATGGTTTCAGGAAGTTATTAACTAGGCTACTCCTAGATGCTTAGTACCAGTAGTAGAAGAGACCTGGGTTCAAACCTATTTTCTTACTTATTAGCTGTGTGGCCTGAGGTAAACGACAATTTCTCTAACATGTTCAAATCCAGATAGTCTCCAAGCCTTAAAAGCAAAGAGCTATTTAGAAGAGTCCTCCCAAATGCTTTACTATCACCCAAAGCAACATACACGGTCTCATTTCATTTCCAAATAAACTGACAAAGATATAGCAAAATGTATTTCAGTCAGAATTACTTTAAAGAAAAAACGTGGTTCATGAATCTAACCAATAGTTTTAGAACTGTCCCATTTATTCAGAATTAAGCTTAATTTATAAACTCCTGACAGTCCTTTGAGGTAGATTTGAATAAACGTCTATAAAGACTAAAATCACAAATTTCACAATTCAATGATGACAACGTAAATAATTTGGAATCCAAATTGAATTCTGCCTTCAAAACTCAAATTTGCTATGAGGCAGAAGAGATATTACACTTACCTGAAAAAAAAATATCTACTGCCTCTACCCATTTAAACAGTCCTTATTCTTTCTTACCAATCTGCTTCCCCTAGCCTGTGCAAAGATGAGAAAACTGAAAACTTGAATCAGAAAGGGAGTCCCAATGCCACTACAGCGCAGTACAGTATTTGTACTGTAATCTATGCGGGATTCCTAAAATGACTGCTTACTTGGACAGGATGAGGTGAAAGCAAACAAGGGGAGAGAAACAACAAGGTATAGATGTGTGTGTGTGAAGGGACACACGGACGAAGGAAGCACGCGAGAGCCGGGCTAACAGTTCGCCAGAGAAGTTCCACTTTATCCAAGGACTGCGCGTACATTTATAGGGTGCTGTGCTCCGGGGCGGGAGAGAGAGTGGACGGGGCTGGGCAGGAGGTGAGCCTTGACCTGTGACTGGCCGAGGTTTGGCGCGGGTGGGCTTGAGTGTTGGCGCCA